CGTACCCCAGTCTAACACATACATATTCTCCACCCACCTTGCGTGGAAGAGCCGATCGTCCTTGACCTTCGACTGCGAGCAACGTTCCTCTATTGAACGCCTCCACGTGGTTCAAACTTTGTTGACCTAAAGCAACCTAGTTCCTGGCCTCTACAGCCGTATTACACCGGCAGTTGGATACTCTAGAAGTAGCATAATACCAATTAATGATTCAGTTATATATATAGTTGAGTTGAGTCTTCCAAGTAGTGTTCCGAGTTCTTCTGGATGACTAGTTTGGGCAACCATGCAAAGCAGCTGCAAATGCGCTCCCAATCATGTTCATGAGACTTCACAGCCGAGCTTGGGTTCTTCAGTTCAACCTCAGTTGGTTGTAATCCATGCTCAAAGCTGTTGCAAGATGGTGGACCATTTCTCCCATCAGCCTCTTGGGTTGAGGATTGCTTGTGAGATTGATACAACACCAACTCAAAGCGCGCCTCTTGAGTTAAGGGTTGCTTGTGAGACTGATAGATCTCAAGCTCCGGCAGTGCGACTTCTTGAGTTGCACTGGTGCAATCCAGGTTGATAGGATCTTCCATGCTACGTTCAAGTCTAGCTAGTTGGTGGACGATGGACTTCATGGAGTCCATCTGTTGGATTTGCATAGGCAAAGGATTGGAAGAAGTTGATTGCACTATCTAAAGCAGAATGTCCGTTCATAGTAGTAAAGGGTAAGGCTCTATTACAATTATGACTGTCTACTTGATTGAATGTCGGCTTAGCTTCTCCAGTTCCAATATGTGGAGTCCAACACGTTTTGGCCATGATCAGTACAATGCTTAGGAATGAGCATGGCATTTGGAATGTTAGCGGTGCTCAATCCACGATCAATCAGATCAAAGTCAAGTGGCCCAAGGGAGACAAGAGTACAGTCTAGAGTAGCTTCAAGGATCCCAAGAGTACAAACCAAAATAGATTTGTTAGTGGCTATCTCATCTATTGTTTGGTCGGGCTCTCTATCTGACTTGTTCCCATCATGTACAGGAGGAAGAGCACTAGTAGCATCATCTCTCCCCATGCTTGCTTCTGACAACTGTTGGAGCAAGTCATCTTTCAGGACAAAGTCAGTAAAGAAAGCAACAGCATTGTCTAGAGTAGACTTCTTTGTAGTAGTTAGGATTTGACTAGTACTCTTGTGGACAGTCAGAGTATCATTGAAATGTACTCTTGGCGGTGGACATAAATCCAACTCCCCATGAGGAATCTTCCTAGCTGGTTTGTCCGAATCGAGGATGAGGTCCTTGAAAGAGCTGACTTTCAAAGGAGCTGACTCATTATCGTAGTTGACCAATTGGCGTGGGCTGAACAGTATTGAAGGGGGCTTACAAGCTTCGTAGACCTCAAAACACTCAGGGATGGGTGAATCTTCTGGTGCTGCATCAAAGCCAAATAGGTCGGTCATGTTGCAGTCAAACCATGTGAGATTGTCAAACGCTCGATGGTGCTGTTTGTGCAGTCCAAGTTCTCAAAGAAAGCAGTAGTTTCATCTAGTTTAGAATCCTTGAAAGAAGAAACAGCTTTATTATTCTTAAGAACTCCTACAAGATCAAACAGGCGTTCTTCATCCTCAGGATTGCAGTTGGGAACGGAGTTTGCCCATTCTTCCATATTGTTGACCAAATGATCCAGTACACATGGATTCCAATCAGTGTCATAGGTGAGTACAAAATGTGGGATGTTGGGATTACTCAGCTCACAATCTATTGGTGGGCGCATTTGTAGATATGGGAGGCCATTGCTGATGTCAAGTAGTAAGACGAAGCCATCTGGTGTTGTCAAGCGCCAACTTTGGTAGACTTGTCGTCCAAGACAATCTTGAAATGTTCCATTTGTCCGTTGGACAGAATGGATTGGCCCTTTCCAATGTAGGCTTGTTGACGTATGATGGCAATGATGATGCGGGCATTGTCTCCAGCAATGCCGCCATTGGCACCTCCATCAATCAAAACTAGATGTTTACAAGTGCTGGCTTTCTGAATAGAATAGATAACATTATGTTTATTAACTGATCTATATTTTACTCCATAAAACGTGAACTCGTGTTGTTTGGCTTCTTGTTGAGGTGTAGGCGGTGGTCGTTTGGTAGCCGGTACAACAGCCAACTTATCAGACATCACACACTGTTGCTCCCCATTCTCCAAATCCATTGGGTACTTGTCAGTCTCATCTTGTTCAGGAAGAAGAGCATCAGAATCACTCCCCATGCTCGCTTCTGGCAACTGAAGGAGCAAACCATGGCTAGTGCTGTCGGCAGAGACACTACGGCCAAGATCGCCAATGTTTGGGTCCAAAAAAGTTTGGTCCCAGTCAAGGTTGGAGACGAGTGTGGCATTACCAATGCCAGTGTCTGTCAGATCCATGGCAGTGTTGAAATCATCTAGTTGGTCAAGAGTCTCATCTTCAGAGGCTTCATTAAGAGTTAAAATAGTTTTACTACTCTTTAGGATGCCTACTCCATCAAATGGTCTCTCACCTTTGCTCTGTTCGTCCAGCCTGCCAATGTTGGGATCCAATAGAGTTTGGTCCCATTCAAGGTTGGAGTCAAATATGACATCATTTGCAATGTCACGCTTGTTCAGTGTAGGTCTACTCATGGTGCTTTGTGCGCCAACAAATTGTGTGGCACGTATGCCATTGAGTATATTGACACCGTCAGACATGCAAATACTAGGTTGTAGAGCAAAAGAAACAATAGTAGTAGGACTAGTAGTGTCACTATACTGATTACTGATCACGTCTACTGTAGCTTGGCGGTCTGATTTGTCGCTCATTGGCTGTTGTAGCTCCCCATATTTGGGTGCAAATTCGTTGCGTATGGTGGCTAGATGGCTGTCTGGGATTGTCTCCATCTGGAGTATCAGGGGACAAGTCAATAGGTTTGCAATGATCAGGCTTGGAGACAAGAGGTTGTAATAAAGAAGAATTAGTAAAAACTATAAAGTCACCACTACATTGATAGTTTAGAAATGCTTGTACGTCAATGTTCATGCAATTGATTGGAGTGATTGGATCGCAATGGACGGTTTGACGGAGGTAGGCATATCCAAGTAAAGCCCAAAGAGTACTACAATGGGGCCACTCAAGCTGAGTAAGCTGAGTTTGGCCAGTATCCACCCCTTATGCGTCAAGAATGGGTGCATTGTACTTCAGTTCCAGGAGCTCAGCCTCACTGTAAGAGAGGAGGTCCATGAAGTTAATACATCCATCACGACAAAGAGCAAGCATGAGTGGACTGTCAAGAGACGCTCGAAAGAGGGTCGTGACAGCAAACTCTAGGCTTGCAAAAGAATCACCAGGTTGTACGGTAGCATTGGCAGGCGTATCAACAGTTGGAGTTGCAGGGCTGACCGGTTGATTGGCAGCACCAGCAGTAGGAGCAGGTTTAGAGTGCGTACCGCTCCAAGTAGTTGGCATGTCTGGTTTGTTGTTGGGGGCAAAAAGGTAGGGGAAGAGTTTTCTCACAAGAGCAAAAACTCTAGGGACGATGCCTGTCCCAAAACTTCTTAGCGCAAAGGTTGGTCAAGTGATTCCCAAAAAGAGAAGGGATTGAATAGGTTGACGTTCCAAACTAGTGAATTCCCTACAGTCACAATAGTCCCATGGATTGCGGTTAAGCTCTCCTGTTTTGCTTGAACGTCAGTCAAGGTCAGGACAGACAAATGAAGGTCTCAAAAAATTGGAACAAGGAGTTGTCCGTGTTCTATGGACTTTTAATCTCCCTTGATCTTCGTAGATCCGGTTATTGCCGTACCCAACAACCAGCAAAGTGAAAATCATCTAACCAAGGTTGGTCGATTGCAGGTGCAAATACGGAGACTGGTCTTCTGAGTCTGTAGCTAAGAGACTGACTGCAGAAGACTACAAGAGGCTGGATGAAACCCTTTGACCTTTACGGGTATAGGCGTCCCGGTGCTCCAACTGCCCGGTTGAAAACTGGCTGGCTGTCAAGTGGAAAAAGGAGAATGCAGCATGCCGATCAAATCCGGGGGTGCTGTGAAGGACTACAGGAAACTGTACTCACAAGCGTACAGAGTCCAGAACAAGTTTCAGTCGATTAAAATAAATCAATCTGTGTGCCGCTGTCTGCTTTAGGGACAAGAACCACCTCGTTTAATTGCGGTACAGCCGGGCAATGAACCTCAGGAATTGTCTTTGTGGTGGATTTCTCAACACTGGAAGCAAAAGACAACAAATGGGGGAAGCACAGGTTTGGCGGATGGTCAGCGCTTGACTCCTTATAGTTTACACTTGGGCTGGAAAATCAAAATATAGAACCACCAAAAATAAAATAGAATCCAATACCCCTGTGCCGTTGGGTCTTTGCGTAGTCGTCGATAGTGATGGGGATGGAGGCCCAATTAAAGTTCAGTCAACTTTTTAAAATGCGGCTTTGAGATTAATAAACCAAAGTGTTAGAATAAAGCAAAATGTGCTCTATCGTGAGTGCCTTTAGCGCTCAGAACAAACTCTCTGCAATCTAAATTTGTAATCAACTATACAACACTTTCACGACAATAGTTCTCCTGTGTCTAGGTATACTTTGAGTGAATTTGTTCCTATTTGATTAATGGCTTAAATTGATGATTCAATCACAAAAGTAAGTTCAACAATTTTCCCTTGGAAAATCCCATGTTTACAGAACTTGATTCGACCTTTACGACAATTCTGTGTTGAATGCAGTACTTTGGGACATCTTGCATTATTCCCTACTGCATTGTACACAACACCAATATCTCACTTGTATAGGGTCATGCCCTTTTTGTGTGGATATAGATTGTCCGACAGACTTGCGTCCGGCATACTTGCGTCAAATCCCAACATCACGATCAAAGTCCGATCGTAGTTGTCAAAAACTTTGTACTTGAATAGTTTCTTTTTGGAACGTAAAATCTCATATTTTGTCATATCCCAACACACTCCTGGCATTGTGACAATCACCATTGGCAGCAATGGGACATGCTCTCATTCACT